TCCTGTCTTGGAAATACTTCGCCATTCAATTTTTTTTTCCCCTCTGTCATCAGTGATGACGAAATCTACCATGGCCCCTTCAAAACTCCACGACAACTTTTGCCAATGTGGAATCACAGATGACGGTTCTAAATTGACTGAAAAAGGGGCAGGGACAGTGCCATTTTCATCAACAATAATGAATAACATTGTCTATAAAACTTTCCTGCTTGCCTGATCCAAATCTGTAAGCCTTTAAAATAGACTGAGTGTTTCTTAAAATCTACATCTTAAAATGTTGTCTTTTCTGCAGAGAGTAAGTAAAATCATCAAAAAGATTCATACCATCTTATTTTGCATGTCTTTGTTATTGGTGCACAATTCTTGGGACTACAGTCAACCAGAATTAAAAGTCTATGGGTAACATGGCTTCTTTCATTAAAACAGCTTCTTCAGACTCTGCTTCAGCTTGCTGACTCCCTCTGTTGATACAATTCTATACAGTAGCTTTGAGTGAAAGTGAGGCAGTATACATTACAGAATGCAATACTACGTTCAGTTTCTCCTCATAATAAAGGAGCTGGTAAGCCAAGCAGTAGGAAAAATATGGTATCTGGTGACTATAATATTATTTCTATGCTTTGGAAAAGAACATGAAATGAAACAAAAATATAGAAAACAGGAAATAAGATTACGGAAGGGAATTGGAAACACTTTAAAGATCTCTTTTTAATCTGTTAAAGCAATTAAGCAATTAATGAAATAAAAATTGAAGCGTAATACCAACAAGAATAACCGAGTAAGTTATGGAATGCACTGAGGATGGAAATTACATATAAAATGTGAAAAAATTGAAGATGTCTATAAAGCCAAACTGAGAAATTACAAGAAATGATGGAAAAACATAAGCAAAATATAACAGTTTAATGGTGATGCCTTTTTCAAATATGGCAGATGTGAATTATGTGTGGAGAAACCTTGGATTATTAAAAAAAGGGATGTGCTGTTTAAGTACAAGGACGTTGCTAAATATTAAACCATTGCTTTCAACAATATTCTCAAATGAAACAGGGTAAACATATTCAAAGTAAGAAAACAGGCTGAGGGCAAGTGAACACTAGAAATTTTTAAATTTGTAAAAGACGAGATGCTGGAGAGGTTGCAAGGAGGCAAAACCCTGGGTTTGATAAATTCAATCCCAGGGTTCTAACAGATTTAACACTGGACATTTTAAATTCTCTCAGCAATATTTTCCAGATCTCACTAAACAGAAGAATATAGGGCTTAGAGCAGGAGTAGACTGTTTGGCCTTTCAACCTGGGGTCAGGGCAAAATCGAGATAAGAAAATAGGAAATCACCTCTATTTTAAATATAGGCTAAAGACAAACAATAAGCTATAGATCTACAACTGTTACTTTGTGGGAAAATTGTTCAAATACCATAATGCAAACATGTACAAGGAATCACACTGAGTGACTGGAGTTAATAATAGGCTTTCAGAATGGTAGGTCTTTCTTAATTTATTGGATTTATTTGATGTAATGGACCTAACAAGGAGCATTGAAATAGTGAATATAGTTTTACAGGATTCTAGAAAGCTATTTGACACTATCCTACATAACAGGCTACTGCAGTGTCCTGATTCCTGCAGTAGATCACAATATACAGTGTTAAATCTAGAATTGGCTGTTTTGTAGAAACTTCCTTCACTGTAAAGGCATCACCATTACTTTTACAAGTCAAATAGGTTTTATAGGATACAGTATGACACAATAGGTTAACAACTGGTCATGGAGGACGACCATTTTAGAATCATTAATACAGTTGGCCAAACAGGCCATAATTTAGAAAACTAAATATATATTTAGAAGACTAACTATATAGTATAAAGTTAAATATGTATCGCGAGAACTTACTCTAGCATGGTTTAAATTTGGTAATTAGAATGCTGAAAAAGAAATGAGCACTAGGTGATCATGCAGAGTTTACGGTAGTTTAAGAAGAGAGTTATTAAAACATCTGTGTAAAGAATTATGACTTAATTTGGAGACACTATGTTTGGGTTAAATTATTGATATCCTGAGAAGGATGCATGGCAATAATCAGACAAAGTTACCTTATCTTCTGATATTAAAGAGATGAAGAAAATTTACATTCCAACTAGAATGAAATCCAGTGGAAACTGTAAATTTGAGACACCAAGTAACTTCCTTATTTGCGAGTGTTTTCGTTTTTTAAATTGTCATTGAAAACTAGATAACCCAAATATCCTAGAATTTGATGTATTTCCTACAGCATAGTGATGTGTGGCAGAGGCAGGTTCAATTTAGGTATGCAGAAGGACATTAGATTGTTTCTATTCAAGACATGAGGTGCAAGGGTATGGTGAAAAGGCAGGAGAATGGCACCAAGTCATAATGCACATTGAAAAAGCCAATGCAGGATGGATGGGCTAAATGGCCCCGATTTATCCTGTAATACTTCTGTGATTCTCTGGTTAGAGGCATTAGGTGGATGGAATGGTTATCGCTGTTCACTGCTGGTGACTGCCTGGTTTTTGGAACTTTTCACATTAATTTGTGGTTTAATTGTGGTTTTGTGGTGCTTTGGAACCATTATGTGAAAAGTTCCAAAAACCAGGCAGTCACCAGCAGTGAACAGTGATAAACATTCCATCTACATAATCCACCCACACAGTTCTCACCCCCCAGCTTCCAACCCCTACCAGTCAGCCCATTCACAACCTTTTTACCCCCGAAATCTTGAAGCCCCATGATTTCAGAAGAATTCTGTGAAAAATCAGGTGAGTAGATTAAAAAAGATGATTCCACTTATATTTCAAATTATTACTTTGCTAATAAATAAAACGACAATCTTAGCTGTTGAAGGCTTTGATGTTAAACTGAAATAGTTCAGGTCATTTTTATTGAAATTTTGTTGTAGCAATTCAGTTCATACTTCTGACACTTAAATTTCTGAGATTTCTAGGTAATCTTGAACAATTGCAATTTAGAAATACCACGCAGTATGTTACTGCTGTTGCAGGAATAGTTTGAATACGGGGACCAGGGGAAGTATTTATAGCTTTAGAGACAAACTTAATCTTTTTTCAGCTCAGCCTTAATGCTGCACAGTCCTGCATGTGTGCTATTATGCAGTTACAAGCTTGCTGATCACTGAGAAATTAGCAAGAAAAGTGAAAAACCGATAAAACAGAGCAAAAGCAACTATGAAAGTACAAAGCAGAGTAATCATAAAACCAGATGACTAACACAGCAAGAAAGATCATAATCCAGATCAGGAAATAAAAGCACAGGAGGACATGGAAGAGAACAATTGCAGGAAACTTATGAAAACACAAAGCATGAAAACAGAAATCACAACTAGAGTCACATAGATATACAGCATGGAGGAAGGCCCTTCAGCCCAACTCATCCATGCCAACCAGGTTTCCTAGACTGAACCAGTCCCACTTGCTTGCATTTGGCCCATGTCCCTCTAAACCTTTCCTATTCCTGTCCAAATGTCTTCTAAATGTTGTCATTGTACCTGCCTCTACTATTTTCTCTGCCAGCTCATTCCACATATGCACCTCCCTCTGTGTGGAAAAAGTGGTCCCTCAGGTCCCTTTTAAATCTTTGCCCTCTCACCTTAAACTTATGCCCTCCAGTTTTGGACTCTCCTACCCTGGGGAAAAGACCTTGGCTATTCACGTTATCTCTGCCCCTCATGATTTTATAAACATCTGTAAAGGTCACCCTCAGCCTCCTTCATTCCATGGAAAACAGTCCCACTCTATCCAGCATCTCCCTATAACTCAATCCTTCCAGTCTCGGTGAGATCCTTGTAAATCTTTTTTGCACCCTTTCCAGTTTATTAACATCCTTCCTATAGCAGGACAACCATTAAACTGAGGCCACTTCCACCTGGCTGGTTAGTGACGCATTGGATAGGTTAGCTCAATCTGGCTACTTCGCGATGCGGAATAATACCAACAACACAGGTCCAACTCCTGCCCCGGTTACTATGAAGCTCTTAACCTCTACCTTCACCTGAGGTGCAGAGACCCTCAGGTTAAGCTCACACAAGTCACCCTTCTCTAATGAGAGAGTGGCCCCTACAAGTCTATCAATTTAAAACAAATATCCATCCCACATATTAATGAATATGCATGTAAAATTACAAAATTCTAAGATGATTTCTCACAGTGGATTTAGCATTTACTGCATAAACTTGTTTCAAACATTTTCACTTTATTAAGAGAATAGTTTAGCAGGGTTTGGTAGCAAATCACTGACTACAAAGTATAGACCTAAACTCAACATTTATTAAAAGCTGCAGTATAATACTTTGTCCCATTCAAATAACTAACATTCTACAACCTGTTTTCTTTTCAGCAGAGTTACGAAGTGGTAAAAATAATTTACAGTATTGTCATTCATAAAAGAAAATATTTATAAGGGGTGGCTGTCCTGGGTCTGGACCCATGAAAACCGGATCCCGAATGAATGAGAAAACTGGTGCATACGTCTTTCAAAGAACCGCTACAAGTTTTCAATTTTCATTACAAACATGCAATTAATACACTGGGGCCTTCTGGCTCATGAAAGACTGCATAAGATTATGCACTATAAGTGTTGGAAAACTTAAATTATAACTCTAACACTGCCAACACAGCAATACTTTAGCACTTCAACAGTTCCAATTTTACAATATAGCGCAAAATATAATGACTGAGATAAGAATAATTAGGTACATTTTTGGATATCTAGTAAAATTTCCTAGGACGAATGCATGTGAATTTCAGCAAAGAACAAAACTACGCTCAACTGAGGTTCCCCAATCAACCCATTCTATCCCAACCTCCTGGGTAGTACTTACCAAACTGACAAACGAAGAATGGCCATATGGGAGAGAGAAATAGGATTAGGAAAAACACATAATTGTGGCAACAGAAGTCAATTATTTTAGGAGAGAAATAAAAAAAAGCAAGAAAATTTACAAAGTAAATTATTCTTACCGTATTGTTACAGAACCATGTGATGTCTCCCTCATTTCCAGTGTAGAAAAGAATGGGACCACCATTATGATTCCAATGTTTGTCTGCTATCAAGTACCTCTGGTTGAATGTAGCATCTTCAGCAAATCCAAAGTGATCAATCTGTGGAAAAATATAATTTTCATATTTAATGGGAATGGATTTGTTTGTCTGGCACTAATCCATTATACAAATGGCATCAAACATTTGTTTGCACGTTTCCTCATAGTTTTCAAAACTTGCGCTGCAGTTTGTGATGGTTACTTTGTTTTTTTTCAGGCCTAAATGCAAGAGAAATTCACATACCATCGCAATACAACAAATTTACTAAAGAATTATCTCATATGGCTGTCACAAAATTATAAAAACCATATATAACATATGACTGTCTACAGGAGCACGATGAAAACTGTAACTAAAAAGCACAAGATTATCACATTCTGCATATTTTAAATTTTCATTACATTCTCACCAAACTACAACTCCCATAATGCATGTTCACTTCCTCTCAAGTGTAATTTTAACTTAATCATCCATTTAATCACCATGAGGACAGAGTAACAGCCCCTGACATCAAGGCCACATTTGATCAAGTGTGGCATCAAGTAGTTCCAGCAAAACCGTGGGATTTAGGGTACAAATTCTCTGCTGGTTGGAGAGAGTTGATGCCTGGTTGTTCAAGGTCAGTCACTTCAGCTCCAGGACACCTTTATAGGAGTTTCTCAGGGTAGGCCCAACCATCTTCGTTAACAACCTTCCTTCCATTATAAGGACAGAATTGGGGATGTTTGCCAATGATTGCACGATATTCAGCACCATTTGCGACTCCTCAGATTTTAAAGTAATATCTAGACTCGGGCTGAAAAGTGGCAAGTAATATTTGGGCCACACAAACATCTCGCAACGACCACCTTCAATATTAAACAATCTAACCTCGATGTTCAATCACGTTGCCATCACTGAATCCCACATTATCAAAATGCTGGAGATTCCCACTGAACAGAAACTGAACTGGACTTGCCATATAAATATAGTGTCTGCAAGAGCAGTTCAGAGACTAGGAAACTTGCAGCAAGTAACTTATCTCCTGACTCCCCAAATCCTGTCCACCATCTACAAGGCAGAAGGGAGGAGTATGTTGGAATATTCCCCAAATGCCCAGACGAATGCAGTCCCAATAACACTCAAGAAGTTTGAAATGACCCAGGACAAAGCATCCTGCTTGATTGGCACCATATCCACAAACATCTACTCCCTCCACCAATGATGCTCAGAAGCAACAATGTGTACCATTTACAAGATGCATGGCAAAAATTTACCAAAGCGCTCATTAGATAGCACCCACCAGACCTACAGCCACATCCATCTCAAAAGACAAGAGCAGCAGATACACGTACAACTTACCCTCCAAGTCATTCACCTAACTGACTCAGAAATATATTGTCATTCCTCCAAAGTAGTTGGGTCAAAGTCCTGGAATTCCCTCTTTAATGATGTTGTGGGTCTACCTACAACATATGGACTGCAACATTTCTAGCCAGCAGCTTACAGCCACCTTCTCAAGGGCAAACAGGGACAGGCAATAAATCCCAGCCAGTCAGCGACGCCCACATTCCATGACCAAATTTTTAAAAATTTAAATTTTACACCACTCAACCACCCATCAAAAATCTCACTCAATTATTCTTTACTTTAAAATCAGGTTACTGACAATAGTCATCCAGGGTCAAAATTACCAACTCTTCCCTAAAGGACATTAGTGAACCAATTCCCAACAATTAACAATAGACACATGGTCATCATTGAACTAATTTCAGATTTTTTTTTATTGAATTTAAATTCCGCCATCTGCCATGACAGGATTCAAACCTGAGTCCCCACAACATCACCTGGCCTCAGAATTAACAATCCCACGATCATAGCACTGGGCAATCACCTCCTCAAGTTTGCAATTCATCCCACCTTCAACACAGATACTTTCAGGTCTTCACAGAGATTCTCTATTAAATAGGAATCGAAGCTGAAGTAAACACTGGAGTTTTAAAGTGTGAAAGCTCCGATTAGCTAAAGTCTATTATCAAGGATTTTATAGCAGAGTACTTAGAAAACAGTGGCAGATTTAGATACAGCATGGATTTGCAAAAGGAAAATCATACTTGACAGATCTACTGCAATTCTTTGATGACATAACTAGTAGAGTTGATCATGGGGATGGTTTATTTGGACTTTCAGAAGGCTTTTGACAACAGTCCCATATAAAAGATGAACATGTTAAAGTTCTACATTGGAAGAAGGCCAATTTTGACAGTATTAGGCACGAACATTCAAAAGTTGATTGGAGGCAGATAGTCGCAAGTAAAGGGATGGCTGGAAAATGGGAAGCCTTCAAAAATGAGATAACGAGAGTTCAGGGACAGTATGTTCCTGTTAGTGCAAAGGGCAGGGCTGGCAGGTGTACAGAATGATGATTAGCGAAATTGAGGTTTCTCAAGAAAAAGAAGGAAGCATTCGTCAGATAAAGACAGCAGAGATCGAGTGAATCCTTAGCACAGTATAAAGGCAGTTGTGGTATACTTAAGAGGGAGATCAGGAGGGCAAAAAGGGGACATGAGATAGCTTTGGCAAATAGAATTAAGAAGAATCCAAATGGATTCTACAAATACATTAAGGACAAAACAGTAACAAGGGAGATAATATGGCCCCTTAAAGATCTGCAAGGCCATCTATGTGTGGAAACGCAGGAGATGGGCAAGATACTAAATGAGTATTTTGCATCAGTGTTTACTGTGGAGAAGGACATGGAAGCTAAAGAACTTGTGGAAAATAAATGGCGACATCTTGAAAAATGTCCATATTACAGAGGTGGTGGTGCTGGACGTCTTAAAACACTTAAAGGTAGATAAATCCCCAGGATCTGATCAGGCGTACCCAAGAACTCTGTGGAAAGCTAGGGAAGTGATTGCTGGGCACCCTGCTGAGATATTTATATCATCGATAGCCACAGGCAAGGTGCCGGAAGACTGGAGGCTGGCTAACGTGGTACCACTATTTAAGAAAGGCAGTAAGGAAAAGCCAGAGATCTATGGACCGGTGAGATTGACATCAGTGGTGGGCAAGTTGTTGGAGGGGATCCTGAGGCACAGGATTTACATGTATTTGGAAAGGAAAGGACTGATGAGGGATAGTCAACATGGCTTTGTGCATGGGAAATCATGTCCCACTAACTTGATTGAGTTTTTTGAATAAGTAGCAAAGAGGACTGATGAAGGCAGAGAAATGGACATGATCTATATGGACTTCAGTAAGGCGTTCAACAAGGTTCCGCATGGTAGACTGGTTAGCAAGGTTAGACACATAGAATACAGGGAGACCTAGCCATTTGGATACAGAACTGGCTTTAAGGTAGGAGACAGAGGGTGGTAATGGAGGTTTGCTTTTCAAACTGGAAGTCTGTGACCAGCGGTGTGCCACAAGGATTGGTGCTGGGTCCACTGCTCTTCATCATTTATATAAATGATTTGGATGTGAACATCAGAGGTATGGTTAGTAAGTTTGCAGACGACACCAAAATTGGTGGTATAGTGGACAGCCAAGAAGGTTACCTCAGAGTACAATGGAACCTTGATCAGATGCGCCGATGGGGGTCGAGGAGTAGCAGATGGGGTTTAATTTAGATAAATGTGAGGTGCTGCATTTTGGAAAGGCAGATCGGGGCAGGACTTATACACTTAATGGTGACGTCCAAGGGAGTGTTGCTGAACAAAGAGACCTTGAGGTGTCGGTTCATAGTTCCTTGAAAGTGGAGTCTAGGGTTGACAGGATAGTGAAGAAGGTGATTGGTGTGCTTGCCCTTATTGGTCAACGCATTGAGTTTAGGAGTTGGGAGGTCATGTTTCAGCTGTATAGGACATTAGTCAGGCCACTTTTGGAATACTACATTCAATTCTGATGCCCCTGCTATAGGAAGGATGTTGTGAAACTTGATAGGGTTCAGAAAAGATTCACAAGGATGTTGCCGGGATTGGAGGGTTTGAGTTATCAGAAGAGGCTTTCCCTGGAACCATCGGATGCCAAGGGGTGACCTTGTAGACATTTATAAAATCATTAGGGGTATGGATACGGTTAACAGCCAAGGTCTTTTCCCCAGGGTGGGGGAGATAAAACTAAAGGGCATATGTTTAAGGTGAGAAAAGAAAGATTTAAAAGGGACCCAAGGGGCAACTTTTTCATGCAGAGGGTGGGTGTGTGTGGAAGGAGATGCCAGAGGAAGTGATGGAAGCTGGTATAATTACAACATTTGAAAGGCATCTGGATGGGTATATGAATAGGCAGGGTTTAGAGGGATATGGGCCAAATGCAGGGAAATGGGACTAGATTAATTTAGGATCTCTGGTCGGCATGGATGAGTTGGACTGAAGGGTCTGTTTCCATGCTATGACTATGTAAAATTAAAGTGCACAGGATTGGGGATAGTGTTTCAAGATGGATAGAAAATTGGTTAGCAGACAGAAAACAGAGCCAGAATAACTGGGGCATTTCTGAATGGCAAGCAGTGGCTAATGGGGTACTGCAGGGATCGGTACTAGGACCCCAGATTTGTAATATACAATAATGATTTAGATGAGGGAACTAAATGTAATATCGTAAAATGTGCAGATGACACAAAGCTGGGTAGAAGGGTGACTTGTGAGGAGGATGAGGAGATGTTGCAGTGTGATTTGGACAGGCAGGGTTAGCGGGCAAATGCATGGCAGATGCAGTTATCCACTTTGGCAGCAGAAATAGGAAGGCAGACTGTATTCATTGGAGTTTAGAAGACTGAGAGGGGATCTCATAGAGGTTAGACACAGGAAGGATGTTCCCAATTGTGGGGGAGTCCAGAGGCAGGGGTCATAAGGTAATGGGTAAACCTTTTAGGACTGAGTTGAGGAGGAATTTGAGTGGTAAGTCTGTGGAACTCACCACCATTAGAAAGTGGTTGAGGCCAAAACATTGTGTATTTTAAAGGAGAGCAATATAGCTCTTGTGACTAAAGGGATCAAGGGATTTGGGTGGGGGAGGTGGAATTATGGAAATTGTGCTCCATGATCATATTAAATGGCAAAGCAGGCTCAAAGGGCTGGACGGCCTATTCCTGCTCCTATCTTCTCTGCTTTTATGTATGTTTCTGTCAGCAAATACTGCAGTGGCATGATTTTTTTTTAAATTGAAACCACAAATTGAAAAATGAAGTCATATCATAGGAATACATCTTAAATCTGGAACTCATCAGATGGAGAACTTACAGAATGAAACCACATCTTGCTATTACAAAGACTTTCAAAATCTAACGTGCTGTTGAAATTCTACATTCATTAACAAGCTTGATTTACAAAGTAGCACACTGGGGTATTAACATATGCTACACATGCAGGCACAGGTCATAAAGAACCAGGTTTGATCTATTTCGAAATCGCAAATCTGCGTTTGGCTATTGTAAAGAGGAAGGAAGAAGCAGGAACCCCTTCGGAGATAAGAGGAAGAAGCGATCATCAATTTGGTGTTCGCTGTTTCCTTATGATTACAACTTCCACACCAAATCCTATTTTAGTTCAGTTTTCACGAGGCTGGAAATTATAATTATAATTTGATTATTGCATGCAGCCTTTATAAATAGCTTGAATGAAACTTTTTTGAATGATACTCATTTATAGTTTGAACTGGAGGAAGGATACCACCGAAAAACAAAGAAGCAGGCACAGACTAGATCGAGTCAGCAGCTATTAATCTGAAAGGCGATAGCTGGATTGCACTAGTTTCTGTCGTAATACTCAGATATGCAGCTTGTCCTGTAAAACCAGGACATTGAGAAGCTTTCAGAGTGAGGAATGAAGAAGTTCGCAGCCCGGTTCTTCAGGAATGTTTCCCAACACCAGCTCGGTACAGAGATTTCCAGCTCAGCGGGCTGCTGCACATTCACCTTCTCAGGATCGGCACTTCTGGGGCAACCGGGTTAAAACCGCACTCACCTTCTGCCGGTAATACCGGGTCTCATAATCAAATCGCACCGGGCGCCCAGAGTCCGACCGGGCAGCCAAGGTTCTCGGCTGAGGGCTGGAGCCCAGCGCCAGAGCCAAGGCAGCAGTCGCTATGGTGATCACGGTAAACGGCAACTTCACATGTACCGCCATCAGCAAGTCGGTTACTGAAAGCTGACAGCCTGAGGAGGGAGGGGCATGATTGAGAGGCGGGGCCTGAAAGGGGGTGGGGCCAATTGGGGGCGGGTCCTTGGGAGGGGGTGGGACAGACAATGGGGGTGGGGCCAGGGGTGATGGTGGGTAACGTGTGTCGGCGGCGGCTGTGTGAGACGGGGCCTTGGGTGGTGGGTGGGGCCTGTGGGCCTGAGGTGGGGAATTGTCATCAGACGGGCCTTTGGGTGGGCGGAGTGTTCTGAGGGAGATGGGTGTGGCAGGGGCCGAGGACCGATGGAATCTGGGCCTGGAGGCTGTCAGAGAAAGGAGCTGGGCCCTGAGCTAATCAAGCGTGGAGTCTTGCGGGGTGGAGTCTGGCTGTGGGGTAAGGGGGAGGAGTATGGGTCGGCGAGTGGGTTGGGCCTGGTGTGGAGGTGGGGCTTAAGTGGGGGTTGGTCTGTGAGCGAGAGGGCGAGGGATGGGTGTGTAGGATCCTGATTGAGGTGGAAGAGAAGAGGGGACCCCGAGAGAGTTTGGGGGGGACGTGGGAAGAGGGGGACCCCGAGAGAGTTTGAGAGGATGGGAAGAGGGGAACCCGACAGTTGAATGGGAGAAAGAAGCCTGAGAAATGGAGGGGCGGGGAAGGAACCTGAGACATGGGGAGAGAAATATCGAAAGGTAGAGGCAGGAGCTGGTGGCAGAAGGTATGACAGGCAGGCAGAAAAGCCTGGCGGATCTGAATAGTTAAGGAGTCAAGCTGAGGAGGAGTTTGACTGGTGACTGATGAGGTGAACGTAACCTCTTCAAAGACTAATGTAATTGTCAGAATGAGATTGAGTGTAAGTGACAGAAGTTGGACTTGTGGTCAAAGAAGATGAAAACGTTTTGCTAACATCTAGTTCTGAAGAAGGGTCACTGGACCCCAAACAATAATTCTGCTTTTCCTCCACGGATGCTGCCAGACCTGCTGAGTTTTTCCAGCACTTTCAGTTTTTGTTTATGTTAGTATTAGGGGCTTTCAACTGACAAATATGGGCAGATACATAACTGGCATAAGAAAAAGAGGACAATTGATGCAGGAATAAAATTACAACTAGTGGAGATAAAGGAGAAGGATGATAACTAATAGGTGGAGACAAGCTAACAAAATGAGTTGGTTTTGATTGTTTATTATTAGCAGGAGAACAAATGCAACAGAAAAAAAGTGGATCCGGAAGGGGATTATAATTATTTTTTTAAAAATTGTAACTGACTGTGCAAGGGGAAGCAATGGTGAAGTGGTAATGTCACTCAATTAGTAATCCAGAGTCTAAGATTAATGTTCTGGGAACATGGGTTTGAATCTTGGTAGATGGTGAAATTGTACTCAATAAGAATATGGAATTAAAAAAGCTAGTATAATGGTGACGATTGTCATAAATACCCAATCAGCTTACCAACGGCCTTTAGGGAAGGAAATTGCTGTTCTTATCTGGTGTGGCCGACATGCAATTCCAGAACACAGCAGTGTGGTTGACTCTTAACTATTCTGTGAAATAGTCTAGCAAGTCACTCAGTTCAAGGGCAATAAATGTTAGCCCAGCCTGCTACCGCCACATGCCATGAACGAACAAAAGGAAAAAGACTGACATAAAAGATTCAAAGGTGCTATTTGAAGGAAAACACTGGGAGTGTATTCTGGGTATCCTGGCCAGCATTGTCCAGCAACCAATATAGAGAGAAACAGAATATCTGGTCACATACCTGTCTGTGGTTCTCTGTTGTGCATAAATTATCACTGCGTTTGCAAACATCACAGCACTGGCTACAATTAAAAATTATTTCACTAGCTATAAAGTGCTCTGGGATATCTGAAATTATGAAAAGTGTGATGTAAATGCAAGTACTTCCTTCCTTTGTGTGTTTACCAGATTTTTTTTATCTCCACCAGGGAATCATATGTTTGAAGATGGCAGTTGAGACAGGTAGAGAAGTCTATGTATTGAGATACTTAAAGAAACACTTTCAATTGACCTAAATAGTCAACTCCTTTCTGTCAGTTTTTGTATGTTCAAAATATACCTCAAAGCCATCTCTGTTAGCTGTTTTCATTCAATATAAAAATTAAATAAATAAATCACAGGAGTCAGGTATTAGTGTTTTTTAATGTTTGCTCATGGGATGTGGGAATCACTGGCCAGGCAAGTATTAATTGACCATCCTTAATTGTTCTTGAGAAAAAGTGATGAGTTACTTTCCTGAAGCACCGCTATTCATTTTTTTTTTGCAAGGGGTGACTAGGTATGCCCACAGGGCTGTTAGGAAGGAACTCCAGGATTTTGACTCAAGGAACTGAGATTTAGTTCCATATCAGCATGTGACTTGGAAAGGAACTTGCAGAAATGGTGTTCCCTCGAATTCCACGTACTTAAGTTTTGACAGGACTCTGCCAGAAATCAATCAAATACTGTCTTGATCTCAAGAGTAATTATTGCCACCTCACCTCTGAAATTCAATTCCTTTATCCATATTTGGACCAAGGCTGGAATGAGCTCAGCAGCAGTATCTATATTAAAATGTAAATATTAGTCAGTACCAATAAAGAAAAATTCTGCAATCTCAAGTTATTGCATTGTTTCCAGGAAGCTTTCCTGGTGCTAGGATTAAGGACATTTCTAAACGTTTCAAGTATATTGTTGAAGGTGAGATTGAGAAGCCAGAAATTATTGTATACATTGGTAGGAATGATATTTTTATGGAAAAGATTAAAGCAGTACAGAGTGAATTTAAGAGATTAGGTAGAAGATTAAAAAATAAAACCTTAAAAGTAGTAATTTCTGGTTTACTCCCTATGCCAAACTCAAATGAGGGAAGGAACAAAAGGATAAAGGAGGTAAATCAGTGGCTGAAAAGCTGGTGTATTCTTCAGGGATTCAGGTTTTTGGACAATTGAAATGTCTTTTGGGATAGAAAAGACCTGTTCAAAAAGGATGAGTCTAACCTAAACTGAAATTGGACCAATATCTTAGGAGGGAGATTTGCTCATTCTATTAGGGGAGACTTATACTGATCTAGAAGGCAAGTGGAGGAATTCTAAGTAGCAGGGTAAAAGGAAGGATTGTTGGGGTAGGTTCTGAATGTGAGGAGAGTAAGTCAATTAGAAAAGAAAGAAAAGGGAGAGTCAGAGTATGTAGTAACTCTGAAGAATTAAACTGCATTTATTTAAATGCAAGGGGTCTTACAGGTAAAGCTGATGAACTCATGGCATGTTTAAGATCTTGGGCTCGGGATGTCATTGCTATTATGGAAACTTGGCTGAGAGATGAACAAGACTGACAGCTCAATGTTACGGGTTTTCGGTACAGCAGAAACAATAGAAAAGGAGGCAAGAAAGGAGGGTAGCATTTTTGATTAAGGAATACATTACTGCTGTAACTAGGGTAGATATTTGTGAAAAATCGTACAGTGAAAATATATGGATAGAAATTACAAATAAGAAAGGAAAGATCACTTTGATACGATTGTACTAAAGGCCCCCAATAGTGAGAGAGAAATTGAGAAACAAATATGTAGGGAGATCTCAGATAAATGTAAGCATAATAAGGTTGTAATAATAGGGGGTTTTAATTTTCTAAACAACGACTGGGACTACCATAGTGTTAAAGGTTTGGATGGGGAAGAATTTGTCAAATGTGCTCAAGAATTTTTTCTTTATCAATATGTGGATGCTCCTACTAGAAAAGGAGCAAAACTAGACTTTCTTTTGGGCAATAAGGCAGGGCAGATGACTGAAGTAAAGTGGGGGAACACTTTGGGTCTGGCGATCATAATTCTATTAGTTTCAAAGTAGTTATGGAAAAGGATAAGCCTTCCATAAAAGTTAAAGTTTGTAATTAGACTAAAGCAAATTTTAATGGTATGAGACAAGAACTTTCAAGACTTTATTGGAGTAGACTGTTCAGAGGTGAAAGGATGTCTGATAATGGGAGGCGTTCATGAATTCAGAGGCATTTTGTTCCTGTTAGAGTGAAGGGTAAGGCCGGTAAGATTAAGGAACAACAAATGAATAGAGGTATTGAGGTTCTAGTCAAGAATAAAAGAATTTTTTTTAGACATAGACAACTTGGTTCAATTGGCAATGGAAAGAATGTAGGGACATTTTTAAGAGAGAAATCAGGAAGGCAAAGAGGGGATATGAGGTACCATTGCCAGATAAGGTTAAGGATAATCCAAAGAGATTCTACAAATACATTATGAACAGGAGGGTAGCTAGAGAGAGGGTTGGGCCTCTTAACGAGCAAGGAGGTCCTCTTGTGTTGAACCCCAGGAGACAGGAGAGATACTAAATGAATATTTCATGTCAGCTTTTACTGTGGAGAAAGAAATGGATCTAGATAATGCAGAGAAATAAACTTTAAAGTTTTTAAAAACAGTTCACATTACAGAAGAGAAAGTTCGGGAGGTCCTAGAGAATATAAAGGTGGATAAATCTCTGAGACCTGATCTAATGTATCCCGGAATGTAATGGGAAGTAAGGGAGGAAATTGCAAGACCCTTTACAGAAATACTTGCATCATCTATAACTGTGGATGAGGTGCTGGCTAATGTTGTACCTTTGCTTAAGAAAGGTTAAGGAGAAACCGGGGAACATCATACCTGTGAGACTGACTTCAGTTGTGGATAAATTGTTGGAGGTGATTATAAAAGATAGGATTTATGGACATTTAGAGAGACAAAAATTGATTAAGGATTGTCAGCATAGTTTTCTGCAAGGAAAATCATATCTGTCAAACTTGATTGAGTTTTTGAGGAAATTACCAAAAAGGTTGATGATGGCAGCAGTAGACATTGTTTATTTAGATTTTAGTAAAGCTTTTGACAAGGGTCCGCATGGTAGGTTAATTAGTAAAGTTAAGTCATGTGGGATTCAGGGTGAGCTTGCCAATTGGATACACAATTGGCTTAACAGCAAGAGATAGAATAATGGTGGAGGGTTGCTTTTCAGACAGGAGGCCTGTTATCGGCGGTGTTCCACAGGGATCGGTTCTGG